ACCAAGACCACAAACACCTTTACAGATTCAGACTCTTGTTGCTATTATTTTGGTTTGTTTTGGTTGGTTGATTTTGGTCTGTTGTTTACTTTCTATTCTGCTTCTGGTGTCTTGGTATCTTCTAAGATACTGGAATAGACAGTGGCTAGAAAATCAGGAAACCATTCTTTTGCCTTTTCTTTTTTTCCTTTTTATTTTTTATTTTTATAGGAAACTATTTTAACTATTGTATGATCTCTCTATATACAGGGTGTCCCATATACATACTTGACAGCTGATAGTTCAATTGTTGTTTCTTTCTTTTCAGATTTAACCCATTGGTATTTATAATTATTCAAAGCGGGTATACATTTTTGGGACACCCTGTATATAGTACCTATCACATGCTTGTTGAAATAATTACATGATTTCCAAAATCTCTTTCCAACGCAAGCATCCTAAAGAACTGTGGCTTCAGAAAATCTGGGTCAAAATTAGTGGCAAGTATTTGCATGTCCTGTGTAGTCTGGCCACAAAGTACCTACACTTCTACAGCTGAAAAATGACCACAATTGTAATGAAATAATTAGGTAGTTTTTGAATGCCTCTCGCCTGCTAAAAATATCTGCACCATGAGGAACAAATGTAAACATTTGTTGACTGAATGATATAAATTAATTAATGAGCGAATATAAATGTTGCAGGTCTAGAGAAGGCAGAATTTCTAATTTTTAGGAATCTTTTCCTAATTCAATTCAAAGTTGCTGCATTTAAGTATGACAACATGCTTAAAAATAAAAATGGCAAATGTTTCATCTCTGGGTGGCAGAGACTTTCTTTTTAAAATCCTTGATTTATTTTACACTGCAGGAAATCCACCAAAATACTGGCACCCACAAAGCTCCTATGTCACCCTAAGCCAAACATATTCTGCAGCTACGAAGATGACTGCTACCAGTTGGTGTTTCAAAGCATTCTGACTACTGGTTTCTGAACATACCAACTTTTAGAAACTGCTGTTGCTAATGTGATTTTAAGGTAAAGAACTGAGATCAGTAACCAAACAATATGAATCAATTCACTAAAATAATAAGACCTCCATTTAACAAAGGCAAATCCAGAATCACATATGGGGGTCATGGTGGGAACGATAATTTAACCTCTATCTTTACAAAATTTTCACAATTGATTCAATGGTAATTCAGCCAGGTTACCATTCTAGCTTCCAGTGAACTCCTATGGGGGAAACTGGGACACGATGACTCAGGACAGATGTTCAGACTAAAAGAGTCTGCGTCACCAGGGAAAAAAATGGCACGGATTCAAATGCACAATTAGGAAAGGGTGCTCGTGCAAAGCTCCCTTTCTGGTGACTCCCATTTACTGTAATCTTGCCACAAAGAGACAGGCTAAAGCTGACACAGCCAGGCGAGGGGTGATACCAGCCCACTCTGTTCTGAGAGCGTGACCCTGTACTTAATCGTTCTTAAGGTTTTAGTCACACTAGCAAAACAAAGCCTCTGATGAAGCCCACAAACACAGGGAACACAGAGTGAGCCAGTGTGATCCTGCCATTGTTCTGCAGCCCCATGCACACCTTGCAGCAATGAACCAGCCATGGCATCCAGGGAAACCACAGCCTCCGCAGCAGCAAGATTTGTTATTTTCTCTGATTTCAGCACTCACCCTCAGGGGGACAGAGGGGGGAGGGGTGGCGGGAGGAACCCCCTGGCAAGTTTAACATAAAGCCTTTAATAAAGAAAATGTCAACTTATAAAAAAAAAAAAAAACCACAATTCCAGATCTCCAATGAAATTTAACGCGGATTTTAAAAACTGGCATTGTTCTCCTTGAATTAAATCCTCACAGACCTAAAGAGAAGGTTGCAATCATACCCCCGGGAGCAGCTAAATAAATGCAATATACTCACAGATTTAGACCCGCTGTGACTCTGGAGGAATGAATGATTTTTAAACAGCCAACAAAAAGAAGAGGCAGTCCTCAATTTAAACAAAAATCCTCAATTTCTGTTTTATTTCTCGGTCCCCAGTGAGACTCTAAACTACCAGGCATGAGAAAAGAAGTTGCTGAGGCGGCTGACAGCATCCCAGAGCTTCCCAGGGCAGAATTTAAGACTTGTCAGTTAAAGTGGCAGGTCCGCTCTGCTGCTGATGCTTCTGCAGGAAGGGATGCCGGGA